AGTATTAATCTTCTTTATAGATACATTTCAATGTGTAACTGGTAGGCATAAAGATAAATGAAGCACATACAAAACTATCCTTTGTTTGTTCTCTGCTCAGACCAAAGAAAACAAGGTTTTCTTGGTAACAGAGTGCAGAAAAGAGAAAACAACAGTAGAGTGTATGTCTGTGTGCATAGTTCCCTCACACTTTAGCACTTTTTTCACGGTTGGGGCCGTGGTACAGGTACACAGTCAACTTGGATGTCTTCACATGTCTGTCAATCTCTCTCTTCCAGTGGTGGACCAGGGAAGCAGGACAGATGATCAGAGTGCCTTTAGAGACCACGAGGAGGGAGTCTGGAAGATCAACAAACAATCAAAATGTGCATACTCTGAATATTCACCATAGGATTTCACCTCCAGAATCCATTTAAATATGAATTGCATGGACATAATGTTACATTGCTGTATTCTTATACCAGTTGACTGAGTAAGAAGAGGTTCTAGTTACCACTTTTGGAGATCCAGCTCTCCGCCTTCTTCTCTTCCTTCTTTTCATCTTCCTCTTTTGCCTTGATCTTTTTGGCCAGTATGAGAGCGATCATGGTCAGGGTTTTTCCCAGACCCATGTCATCCGCTGAATCCAGAGAGAAAAAGAGAGAAAAGAAATGAGAAGAACAAGAAGGAGAAACGATGAAGAGAAAATTCGAATTTTAAGATTCTCTGACATAAAACACATTATACTGTACCACCTTTATCTCACATCTTTCATTAAGACTTCTTATCAGTCTTCATAGTAACAGATTTAATAAAGATCAAAAGTGAACATACCCAGAATTCCTCCACAGGGTTTCTGAGTTTCTCTCCACAGCAGCCAGGCCAAAGCTCTCCTCTGATGGGCCAGTAGCGACACCTGACCGACCAATCACAAGAGGACAATGTTATTCGAGTAATACAATGGATCAATCAAAAGAGGACATACAGTAGAGGCTCATACCCAATTGATTAAGCAAATTTTAAGCAACAAATTTTAAGAACTTCTTTCCAAAATTAGTAAATTCACTATGTCAAAAGTATGTGGACACCCAAAGACAGCAATCTGACTGATGGAATAGGTCATTCCCAAACACAGCGCTTTTACAAGTTATTGTATAAGTCTTGTTTCAGACTTCAGATTTTTAGAAAGAGATTTTAGAGATTTGCACCCATTCAGACAAGTGCATTAGTGAGGTCCAACACTGATGTTGGGTAATAAGGTCTGGCTCACAGTTGGCATTCCAGGTGTTGGATGGGTTGAAGTCAGAGCTGAGTGCAGGCCAATCAAGTTCTTCCACACCAAACTGGGAAAACTATTTTTATGGACTTGGCTTTGTGCACAGGGGCACTGTCATGTTGAAACAGGAACAGTTCTTCTTCACCAAACTGTTACCACAAAGTTGAAAACACAACTCAGCCCCAGATCAGGGTGTACACAAGCCTGTGTCCACATACTTTTAGATAGAATTGTTTTTCTTCATTTTAAAACATATTAAACAATAATTGCATAATTTCCTTTAGTTTTGCCAAAAATCTCATTAGTGCTGTCAGATATTCTGAGTGAAGGACTGATGAAGAACCAGGCTAGCAACTGAAGGAGTGTCGCACCTTGATGCCTTTGGGGTCTGAAACCTCGGCCTCAGGATCGGGGCAGGACTCTACAGATTTGTGGAGATGGTCTATGGCCTCGCAGGTGGCGTTTTTCACTGCCAGCAGACGGTCCTCGGTCATCCTGCCACCATAAAAGGCCTGGGCCTGCTGGTTCGCTAGAAGAAGGAAGGGCTGAGAGTTAGGGTGTTTACATGAGTGATAAACGAAAGCAGTGAAAGAAAATCTGGAGAAAAACAGTAAGGATCGAAAAACTAAATGAAAACAGAGAAAAAAAAGACAATGGGACATGCAAATGATGGCAAATGTTGGAGAGGAAGAATAGCCCCTTTTTGACAGAATTCCTATAAATCAAAGATCAGAAATGTCTTCAACCTCCCTGTTTGGCTTACCTCCATACGTCTGGGTGTACCCCTGGCTCAGCTGGAGCCCCAGAGAGCTGCTGGAGGCCTGGTGTTGGGAGGGCCCCGGGGCTGGGAGGATGGGGAGCAGGATGGTGCCGCCCTGTCGGCTGAATGGGTTTTTAGCCTGACTACTACCCGGACTGGCATCATCGCTGCTACATCCAGCCTGGGACTCTGAAAGTGATTTGTACATTATAGTTGCAGACACTGACATTAATGTAAATTCAACTGTACCACCATACTTATAATATGATAGAACCTTTCGTTTCGCATCTCTTATCTCCCCTGTATTTTGGTGTTTCTTATGTAAGGTACACTAGCATCTTATTTAACTGTTGCTTCATCCAGGGAAAAGAATGACTTTCAAAATTTCAAATATATATATATATATATATATATATTATTTTTTTTTTTTTAAAAATCAGCTGCAATGTATTACATGACAAAGACCGACGCTCATACTTTGTCCCTACAACATGTCGGTCAGAGCTAACTGTGATTCCTAGTGGAATGAGTGAGAAACCTGAGATTTTGCATTATTCTTACAACAGCAATATATCGTTCCTATATTGTTAGTGAGTTACCTGGCTGAGATGCAGCGGTGAGGCTAAGAGACTCCAGTGCGTCCTCCAGCTCCTTGACCTGAGTCCTCAGCCTCTCACCTTTATCTGGCAGAGCTGCCACATTCACCACAGACAAAGTGGCCTTAACAGGAGGGAAAACGAGGGTGAGAGGACAGACACATTAAAAAAAGGATACACAGAAAATATAATGAAAATCAAAGAATCAAGTGCATAAACTGTCATTAGTGTTAATATTTTCTGAGGTGGTAAATGGTGTAAAACATTTGAGAAACATTGCTTTATAACAATATTGGTATTAGCCTCAGAAATACAGTACTTGTCCAGCTAATCTGTCCATATGGCCATTTGTCTTTTTCACAGTTAATCACTTACTCACCTTCTTCTGTTGGAGTTGAGCAGTGAGCAGGCTGCGCATCCCTTGGGGATCTTCCTGCTGACCTTTGACCTTAGAAGCTGGCTGGAACCCGGGGAAGGTGGTCAGGGTCTTTTGGACAGCAGTAGCAGGAGGGGTTTTCTGAGTAGCAGGTTTCACAGACACCAACACTAAATCGTCATCATCGTCTTGGTGGTTTTTGGTTTGACCGGACTCTGTGGGTTGTGTTGGTTTCTTAGATGCGAGGTTCCTGGTGTTATCAGAGTCTCTGGAAGCCTGAGTGCTACTAGCGGATGCAGATTTAGAGACACTCTGTTTTACAGTAGAGTCACTTTGTTCCACCAGACAGGTTTCTCCATCGTTTGGTTTCTGGGGCGAGTCCTTGTGAGGATCCTGTGAAGTTGGATTTATTTTCTCAGGACGAACAGCCTTGACACTGGAGGTAGAAATCATTTTATCTGCTACTCCTGGCTCATTGTGGTTCTCTTTAGTCTTGTCTTGCACCTTATCTGATGTTTTCTCCAAGTTTCTCTCCTCATGTGAAACTCTCTTCTTTACCTTCATCCCAGCTGGAAGTTGTTTACCTCGGTAAGTATCCGACAAACTCAGCTTTCCTTCCTCCTCTTCTTCCACTCCTGCTCCTGCGCTCTCCACGTTTTCTTTCTGATAACCTTCACTTGCCTCACCACCTTTCTCTTCACCTTCACCACACTGCGTCCTTCTCCACTCAGAGTCCTTATCCGCCTTGCCAGGAACCTTAAAGGGGTTTCGGACAGGCGGCAGGCAGGAGGGCTGTAGCTGTGTGTCAGATAGAGGGTTTCTCTTTTCTTTCTCTGGCTGCAACAACATAAGACAACAGACATTTTAAAAATGGGTAGCTGTATTCAGGAAAGTTATCAAAACCAATCAATCTTTGGGAGGTGGAGACTTAAGTTATATTTATTTGTACAAATTAGGAAACTACTTAAAATCAAAAGAAAGAAGTTCACTGTTTTACAATATCTTTTGTAGAGCTGCATCAAACAACTATTTTCAAAATCGATTAGTATGCTATCCTCCATTAACTGACTGACTGATTGGTCTATAAAACATCAGAAAACAAGGAAACAAGGATTCCTGACTGGACTTTTCCTATATGTCCAGTTATATCGCTATAGTAATTTCTTAACCATGTGACACTAACATATTTGGTCTCTTTGGAAACGCTGGGATCGTAAGGGTTGGAGACAGAGTTGAAGAGATGTGAGGAATTGTCTGCAGCTAATAAGTCCCAGAGAAATTTGGTGGCAAAGGTATTTAAAGTATATAAATATGGGGGTGTATGGTGCTGTCTTACTGCAGTCCAAGGCACGTTTCCACACCACCTCTGGCCTGCTTTTTTACCCACAACACATCGGTAGAACAACCTGGAAGAGGAGAAAGCAAGAGTCAGTCAGAGGTCCAGTCCAACCAACCACGTGTGCTATCACATACAGACCAGTATCTTTTCTAATTTAAATGTAAAGCTACAACAGGAATGACATTTCATTACTTTTATTGTAAGTTGTATTACTGTAAATTACCCCCATTTATAAAAACTACCCACTTGTGGCTCTGCTGTTGTTGAATGAAGGTGAGAGCTTGGAGTTCCACTATTGAATCTTCATGATGGAGGCAGTGGGATGGTGAAATGCTGAAATAGAAACATAAATTTGCCAAACAATTGAACTAAAATGCCATTAAATAATCACCTGTTATAACCTCAAATGTTTGCAATGGATAGACTCACACCCAGCATGTATGAAGTCATTGCTCATATGAATAGAATAAAATTAGATGTGCCTAAGAGATAAACCAAATGTATACAACTGTATCCATTTGATTCTATAAGCAAAACAGATATTTCAGATGTTTAGGTATATTAAAGTGCTCTCATACATCTTTACTTTGAGGTACTAGACTTTTGAACACTTCTGGGTTAAACTACAGTGTAGGTTTTGTTATAGAGGAACCGGTAGCTCTTTCACAATGATGTCACCGCTGTGGAGGGTACAGGGATCCAACCCTCTCTAAATGTGTCTCACAGTGTCTCACACAGGGGATCCGTGAAGAAATGTGTGCCCTCTGTGATGTGAATACCTGGCCACTTGACTGAAATCACAGCCTTGCTTGTCAACGCAGACGTAGAAGCTTTTGCCTTTATTTGGTCCATCTTTTACGCCCGTCTTTAACATACACACGCTGCCTGTAAGGGGACACAAAGAACGACTTATTTAACTAATGAGAAACTTGGTGCTCACTGCAAGTAAGCGTGGCACATACGCCGAAATAGGTTTGGTCAAGTCAAAAGTTACACAGCTCATTGAAAGAAACTGCCGTGTCATGCACATAAACAATGTTTTAGAGCTAAATCACAAATATGACGTCTGAAAACTCAATGCAAAATCTAATCTATTTTACAACAAACAATTAATTAGGATTAACTTATTGTGACTTACCGTGGACATTACATATAATCTTTTCCATTGTTCCGACACTTTCAGGTCAGTGTCAGTTGCTCGAACGTGGAACTCAGTATTTTCGTATCGACCAATCACAGCTGTCAGATAATACATCCGGTGCGTAGATATTAGTATAAAAGTTCTTGTCCAAATTATTTAATATAAATTACTTATGTTTACCATAAAAGTAAGGATATGATAATATAAATAATAATGCGATGTAGACTTCATAAAAACTTTCAGTATACAAAATGAAAATTCAACGGCACGCTAGATTCCATTCACTCTTTGACCTTTATTGTGAAATATTTTTGCGATTAAACCGGATATAATTCAAAGCTAGTTTTACCAAAAATTATATTTGCCACAAATTTCACCTTCAATTTTCTAAAACTTGTTCTTTGTACATATTAACCTACTATATTCATGCATATGAAAAAAAGATTAGCCAAACCGCCAGTTTTATAAAAAGTTGAACTACATTACCCATAATGCAACAACAGATTTGTCGCCGGTTTTTACTCTCGCGGGCTTTGTTTTGATATGGCGGCAGCCTTCGAAACTTCTGTCTGTTGTTGTTGTTTTACTGCAGTAACACCGCTTTCCTCCCATGTTACAGGTAAGTTAACTCATATGTGCTATGACACTTTTATTAATACTGATAACTTTTTTGCTTCGTCGCCACAGTGTAACACTTAAAAAAAAAAAAACTTTTTGTACCTAAGTAAAGCGCAGCCTGCTAACAACAGGCAAGTATCACCAAGGAAGCCTTTTAAATGCACCGAAAATGGACAATGAACACATATTAAGAGCACCATCAAAGTGTTGTCGCTAGTTGAACTGTAAGACAGCAACAGTTAAGTTAGCTCCATGTTCATGAATGTTGTCACGCTGTCAATGATTGAGCCGGTTTGTCTTCATAAACTATGATTTAGTTCGCTGTTGCTAACCAAACAAACGCTCATTTAAAACCGACACTGCTGTTGTGACATGCTACGGTGCAACGTTAACCTACTGAAGCCACATGACGTTAAGTTAGCTAATGTTATTTCAACGTAAACCGGTTGCTATATATACTTTTCTTGGATCTGGGCATCATCTAGACTAGAGTGTGCTGCACGGCGTTTATTCACGGTGTTATTAACCCTTAACCTGTCACCATAATCTGTCGTTCAAATCCCGGATTAGCGAGCCCTGCCTGAGACAGCACGGTCATCATGTCATCTCCAGCCGGGCTTCAGTTCTCCCAGTCCGACTTCTTGGCTCGGTGGATGCCAAGTAGCGCCAGAGCCGGGGTGATCCTAAACCCCTGTCCGGACTTGGCTGGCTCCTTGCGCCACACCTCCATCGTCGGATCTCCGTCTCTGAAACCAGACGACTCATTTTCTTCCGACTTCGCACCTCTGCCCGCCTCCGCAGACAGCAGCTGCTTCGGTGTGGATGGATTTGCCCGGTCACCTGCAGGAGAGAGGGCTGGGACTGACAGGCCTGTGAACGGTCTGTCCTCTGTGCCTCCAAGACATTCAGATGGAGAGTTGGATAGTCTGGATGAGATGGCGAGCAAATCCCAGGATCTGCCTCTGACCATGAAGCTAGAACAGGTAAGGACACTATTGCATTGCTGTCACTGTAATCATATCATGAGTTTTTGATGTTCTGATGCACAAGCTGGTGGTCAAAATGAACACTACAAAGATGTTTCAGTCAGATTTCCTCCAGTATAATATCTGTAATAGGTGAACATGCCATCTAAAATAGACAGCTCTTCCCACTGACAACATAACTCAGATTTTCTGTACCTAAACAGATATTGTGATATATTAGAGAAGGTCCTTTAGTTATTGATCTCTATTTTTAAGTATGCACTTAAAAAAGTGCAACAACCTGCAACAACACATTTATTACTAACGTTAGGGCTTCTGCCGTGACAGTGTGAATTGTGTGGATGTCAGTGTTGATTATATCACTGCTGCCTGTTAACTTAATACCCCCACTTCCATTACACACACTCTGGGCCTAACCTTGCTATTATTAGTGTTTTTCCCCTAAGGCTCAGCAAGGACTCAGAGATGGAAGTGCGTGCATGCAAGTCAGTTAGCACTTTGAATATGTTAACCTGTCAGTATGTGCAGTGCACACACTGACAAGCATCAAGATAGGAGTGATAGCTACATCGCTAATTAAAATATAACAATGTGTGTTTGTGCAGTTGAGAAAATGGCAGCAGCACATGCAGGAGCAGCTAAAAGCCCATCAGCTGGAGGAGCTGCTTCGACTCCAGGAGGAGCAGCAGCAGCTGCTGGGAATGATAAATGGACCCCAGGACTGCACAGGAGGTAGAAAAAGAGAACATAACTGCACATCATGTAAAAATTTGTTTCACTTAAGATATAAAATATGTAGGTTGGAGAGTGATGTGTTTGTATTTGCCTTGCCTTCACTTCGTTGTAGCTTCTTTATTTGTATATTCTACACACACAGTGAAGTGACTAATGTATCTTACAGATCACACAGAGGGTTCAGGGCAGTCAGAAGCAGAATTGGGGGAGAACTCGCTCCAGGGAAACTATCATCACACAGAGACCCTGTACAGCCCCACCATAAACTGCAGAAGGGGTCCAAAGGGGGCCCCCTATGGCTTTCGACAGGAACAAGAGCTCTCACCAGCAGGGAAACAGCAGCGGCTACCAGGAGGTCAGGATTATGAGAAGGATGAGGAACAGGGTGAGGAAAAATGTTTTTAAGCACAAGGTGAAAACAGAATTTGTAAAATTTTTTGTATTTGCATTTGGAGTATAGCAACCATCTCTTACTTTCATCAAGTTTATGACATGATTGTGGAGATAAATAACTTCAGTGTGAAATTCTAACAGTGTGTGTCTCCTACAGGCACGTGGAACTCCAGAGAAAATGATCAGGAACAGAGTATCGATACCAGCCATTATAACGAGCATGATGACTCATTAATACCAAGTAGTGGTATGGTTTTGACTGAAGACAACAGCAGAAAAGAAGATACTGTCTTCCATGACAGGTAAATACTGTATTTCAGTAATATATGGTGTTAAAATGAGACTCTCTATGAAGAGATAAACCTAGCAAGTCATGCAGCAGAAATGTGGCGCTAGTGTGACTGTTATGTTTAATGCGTTGTGTGAGTGTATTTCTTGAGAAACATTTCTGTCTGCATACATTCACCTTGTGTGTGTCTGTGTGCCCCTTTCCAGACCTATCGGGGGTCAGAAGAAGACATTTGAGGAGTTGGTGGAGGAGCAGCTGAGGCTGGAGGAGCAGAGGCTGAAGTCTGCCCGGCAACAGCAGGTCAGAGAATGTAAAGTCTCCTTACAAACAGTAAAAAGTAAATAGTTTTTTTGTCATTTACTTATGAACCTTACATTTAATTTATTCCAGACTGACTGTTATTGTTATGTGGTAATGTAGTTGCAAGCAGAGCCTCTCCATATTTGTGCATTCAAGGAAGCTTTGTTATCTTAGGCTTTACTACAATACAATTCTACAATACCAAGTTGTTGTTTTTTTTTAATGCAATAAACGTCCAAATTGACATTATATTCACATTGTGTCTCCTCACCTTAACAGAGCCGAGACGTAGCTGAAGCTGTACGAGCCCCTCCCAAGAGGGCCTTTCTGAAGCGAGGCGAGGGTCTCTCAAGATTTACCAACAATCGCCAAGCCTCATTACCAAAAATGGAGGTGAAGAAGGACAAATCTCAACTCCCGGCCAGAGTAATCTCCCGCAGCAACTCAGAGCCTGTAGCCATCCTGAGAGGTTGCACAAACGTTGTCCAGCAGCTTCCCGTCCAGCGTAAAACCGCCACACTCAACAAGGAAAACCGTCCGAAAGGTCCAAGTTCGCCACCCCAGGACATCAGAGTTAGTAAGGCAGCACACACGAAAGTTTTGGGTAGTCATCAAAGACAGAACACAAAAGGATCAGTGTCTGTTCAAACCAACCCAGATGGTAGACAAACCAGACAACATCAACAGGGACAAGTCAAGGAGCAGAATAATAGGAAAGTGGGTCTATCAGCTCGGGCTGCGAGGACCCCTGGTGACAACATGCAGCCGAACCCTGTAACAAAACAGGTGGGCATGTTAAGAGGGCCAGAAAAGACTGAACGTGATGCAGCTGGAGAGAAAAGTTGTGGTTCAAGAGAAGGAAGAAAGGGGTCAGACAGAGGAGGAGGAGACGAAGGTCCACAGAATTCGTTTGAGTTGTCGTTTCAGGAGAAGCTCCAGCACTGGGAGTGTGACCGACAGTTGGAAAGCATGGAGCTGGGGGAGTTTGAGCTGCTGGAGCAAGCAGCCGAGGAGCTGTCTTTCTCATCCAACTCCTCCTTTGTCATGAAGGTGTGTTATTCAACCCACTCGTGATTTCTGTGTGATAGGTCAGATATGTATACTCTGATTATTTGTGAATTCCTGCTCTACTTGTATCCATTCTAAATGTAGCTTAATGCTTCATTTGATTTATTTTGTGCCTGATTGCATCACTTGTCTTGGATACCTTGTCTAGTGTAAGCTGTTATCATCAATTTTTTTATAATGGCAATGGCTCACACATGACTACTTGTACTTGGTTTCTTATAGCTTATAGCTTGCTTTAGTGTTCTGGCATTGAACTGTGCTACTCATGTCAGTGTTGTGTTGGCAGCTTCTTCCCTCTGACCATAGTGGATCGCCTTTGTGGTCTAGAGGTTAACAGTCCCGGTTTGTGTCAGGCTGGGACCTTTGTTGTGTGTCATTCCCTGTCTCTCTTTCCCCTCATTTCATGTTGGCTGTTCAGTATAGGCATAAAAAAGCTGGTGTGGATTCTTTTCACTCACTGTTCTGCACTTCCAGGTTCTTCAGATGGACCAGCATCATCGGCACCTGCAGGTTGCCAAGGGGCTCCACCAGCGACGGCTCTCCTCTACCCCCATTAAGTCACCTCCCAAAGGTGCACTTCAGAGGTGCAGTAGTGTTGGTAGTATTGGTGGTTTGGCTTGTCAAAGCAGTTCCATGAACTCAGAAGCTTCTGTGGTGAAGATGAGAGACGATGCACTCAAGAACAAAGTGGGAAGTGAGGATAAGGAGGAAGAGGACAAGCACGAGGACTCTGATGTCTCATTATCCTGTGGCGGCTCTGAATTTGAAGATCAGGAAGTGGCGGTCACACCACCTCTGTTTCCCAGCACTCTTTGCTTTCCTGCACACTCTAACCCGCCATACGACAAGCGGTCGTATCAGGACGAAGACAGTTGCAGGGATTCAGCTTCAGATGTGACACAAGCTGATGATGGGGAGAGTGACAGCGTCCTCAGCAATGCTGACGAGTCCACTCTGATAGAGGACAAAGATAGACAGCAGGGTGGAGTAGTGTTTGACGACAATGACACATGGAATGACCTGGAGGACACTGCAGTTGACACAGCCAATGACAGTCGAGGAGTTTGTCCAGTTTCCAAGGCAACAGCCAATGAAGTCTCACCACCAGAGCGGACTCTGTTTAGGAAGGTGGCAGTGAGTAAAGTTGTGGGTCTGGATAAGGGCACAGTTATTGGTTCAGCTAATCAGGAGCCAGATCCTCCTCCTCCTCCCGCCTCCCAGCTCATGACGAGGTTGTTCCCCTCGCTGAAGCCGAAGGCCCACAATGCACCTCTCCCTCCTCCCCCTCCTGCTGCTTCTGTTGCTCCAGATTCCAAAAAGCCAGAGGTGGAGACAGGTGAGACAAACACTTTCTGTATCAGTATGTTGATTCTCACTTTTTTATCGCCGTTCACACATAAATTTGATTGGCACTGATGCATGACAGTATGGTTGCAACTTATTTTCATAATCAGCACCTTTATAAAAAACTACACATGAATGAACAGAGGTCGGCTATCTGTTACTCTATTGTGTCTTGTAGTCTACTTTTAATTTTAAAGGTGCTATTAATGAGCTAAAAACAAAAGCTAGTGTTACGTAACGATTTGAGTCTAATAGTATCTGCAAATGAACTCAGTTCTTGTAGGCTTTGAGGCTGAGACCAAACTCCTCCACCTCCTCTCTGCCAGCAGTGCCTGTCTGCAGCTAGTCTTTTTACATCAGCAGCAGAGGGAGCATTAGTGATGCCACCACTTTTAGCCAGTTTATTGTAAAAAGGCTTGCAGCCTCTGAAACCCATACCTTTAGGTAACCATTAACTAACTGGTCCACCAGTATGTTAAGTTATTCTAATGGTCTTTGTCATTGGTCTGCCCTTTTTTCCTGTCATCAACTTTGAGGACAAAATGTTGACTTGCTGCCCCCCACTGACAGGAGCCATGATAACCAGATAATCAGTGTCATTCACTTCACCAGTCAGTGCTCATAATGTTTTAAGGGCAACCTTGGCCTAAGTGGCTTCAGGGCAGATATTTAACTGGTTTTCTGTGTCTGTGTGTGTCCTCGTCCTCGTCCCCAGGCCAGCAGGTCCAGTCTAGACTGCTGAGGGAGAGACTGGTTGAGCTGGAGATTGAGATCGAGAGATTTAAGAAGGAGAACGCTGCCCTTGCAAAACTCAGACAGGAGAATGAGAAAAATCAGGAAACTCTCAGGTGATTTATCTGTCTGCACTCAATGTTGTTTTGATACCCTTTAAATTATCTTCCCAAACAGAGGTTTACACTCGGAGTCCTTTTTATTTCCTATTATTATTATTATTATTGTTGTTGTGGTTTTTAAGGTGGGGCAATTTCTTTTTTTCAAAAATGAAAATGTTTTACTTCTACTGACCATGTTGATATTGGAGTGAATAAAGTTCTGCAGGTTCTTGTTGTGGCAGTGTTTTTGAAGGTTCATCTCAGTACAAATATACAGTTCAGTAGAGCAATACTCAACTTTAAAACTCCATCAGTTTCATAATTGTTTGCTTACACAGTAGACTTTTACAAAGACATGTATTAAAGAGAAAAAAATGGTTGCACTTTAACATTTTAGGAGACCGTGATTGATAATCTGACCCTTGCACCTCTTGCGTAGAAACATTTTGAGGAGTTATGTGATTCTCTCTGCTTGCTGGTGTGATTTACGTCTGCATTGTTGCTGTTTGTGTAGGAAAGAGCGTTTGGAGTTTGAGCAGATGAAAACAGAGGAGCTGGCCAAGTTTGAGGAGTACAAGAAGGAGGAGAACAAGAAGTTGCAGAAAGAGCGCAAACTGTTTGAGAAACATGCGTCGGCCGCCAGAGCCATGCCCGACAAGAAGGAACGAGAAGAAATCCAGGTGACACAAAGACAACACTCATCAACAATTCATAATTTATAATATTTCCAGTCCCAGGATTGTTCAGTCGACTTTACTTTATGTGCACAAACATGACTTCAAATAAATACTAACGTTGCTGTGTAGCTTTTCAAGATGGAGGTTTAAGATAGAGACTGGAGAAATCAAATCAGTGAATTATTTAAAATGCCGTGTACATGCACGCAATGTAGAACCATTCGATGATCAGTTGACTTGTTACAAAATGAGTTCATATTGGCCAGGTTTGGACATAAACCAGAATTTCAGCATTGTTTAGATGCAAATAATTCACATGAAATCACTTGAGTTCCAATGTTACACTCCCAGTCACATCACAGGGTTAAGAATGAACAGTATGTAGATTCAGAAAAGTGTGTTGCACAATCACAAGCAACTGAACTTTTCCCCTCTTAATCACAATTTAGTTTGAAATGTTTTAACTTCCCTTCCCTTGTCCCTTTTTGCCAGGTGTTGAAGCAGCAGCTGAGCTCCCTGCAGGAGGAGCTGAGAGGGAGGGAGAGTCGCTGGGCCTCCACACACAGCCGGCTGAGGCAACAGATCGACTCCCTCAGCCAGGAGAACAGTTCTCTCCGGGACGAGGTACCCACCGGTCCTCTGACCCTTTCACCCCATATACACCCTGCACAGACTGATGGGGTTAGGGTTGCCAGTGCATGCAGAACACTGGGGTATACAGTATATCGTTGTTTAGTTGCAGCCATGTTGTGTTTTAAAATGTACCTTCTCTTTTAATTCCAGATTCGTATGTTGGAAAAGCTCCGCCTCAGTGCCTGGAAGAAAAACCCTGTCAATGCAGAGATGGACAAAGAAACCAAAGACTGTCCCAAAATGTTTGAAAACAATGGGTCATCTGTGACCAAAGGAGTGAAATTTGCTGTAAGCATGTTTATACTGTTCATGTTTGTCCAGTCTGAACTTTAATGAATAATTTTAAATCAGTGTGACTTGGACAATGTGGGAGGAATTATGGGTCCATAATCCTGATTTTTGTTATCTTCACACAGACTTTGACAGTTAACCTTGTAAATAGGCATCAGGTGACAGTCCCCAAATCTTTCATTGACCAAATCCCATTTCCATTTTAATTTCGAATTATGTCTTCAGATTTCTTCTAAGTTTGGCATAACATTGACATAGCTAGTTCTCTGTGTTTTCAGAGTCCTCTTGACTCCAGAGGAAACAGCAGCAGCAGCCCTCCACAGAGCACGACTGCTGCAGCCATGAGAAGGGGCTCCAGGGAGAGCAGTAAGGGTGCTACAGGTACAGTTTCCATTCACAGGGACATTTCTAGCACATCGTTTTGGGGTTGCAGGTTTTCAGAGACCAGAAAAGAAGGAGAGTGATTGGACTGGACACAAACATGACTAAATGAATGATGATGTTGCTCTGTATTTGATGGATGTGAAAAAGGCTCTTTGCTAATGAGGCTGCCATGTCAACCGAAATGGTGATGATGTCAGTGCTGTGTTCACAACATGCTTCCACTGTTCCAAAGTGGCCATAATAATCTGTTTTATAATGGTTGTGGAAAGTTTCCTGCCTTTAAGTAAAGGGTCCCTTCATGTCAGTGTGCAGTTGTTCTCAAAGTTGTTTTCCCATTGCAGAGTGGGTGAATCACACAATCAGAAACACTGACAGGCCTACTCATAAAAACCCTGAGCCCTGCAGGCTGCAGAGTGAACTGGTTGTAATCCTGCATCCCCAACTTTAGTCTCCACAATGAATGTAACCAACACTCAGTATGTAAAGGTGTGAAGACTCAAGTGCTGTTTGAATAGCTGAGAATGGTCAAGATTTTTTGTGTCGATTGTCAGCAGTGATAAAGAGCAGCCTGAGGAGGCCATCTGGGCCAGGCTTCACGTCCTCTTCCTCCTCTTCCTCCTCATTGCCTGGCAGGAGGACAGAGGAGAGGTCAACACCCGCCAGCAAGAGTGAGGACAAACCTCCAAACCAGGAGCACAGCACACACATCTGCTCTCCGGTACGAGACATCCTTAGTGCTCTTCTCTGGTAGATGATGTATTACTGGTTTATTACACTGGCTGTCCATCAATCCCAATGTCCCAATGTTATATAACGGGGACAACACAATTCAATAGTGTCATATAGTGGAAGAAAACAAATACAATGTGTATTGGGCATCTAGATGAAGCTAATTTACAGCCTCTGATCCTGCTTAGAGACTTTTGACAGTGGTGTGGCCAGTTCAGCTGTTAACCGTAACCTGTTCAGGGTTCTGGCCTGTCAGAGCCTGGACATCTGCTGTCTGTTAGGGCTCAGTCAATACGCCCGTGTTTAATCATTTGTTCCGTTTGTTGACATCTTCTCATTGTAGAAAAGAGATTCTCCGTCGAGAGACCCAGAGAGCAGTGAGGCCAAAGACCAAGAATCAGCTCAGGAAGTTATCACACACCCGGATGGGAAGGTGAGAAAGTTGAAAGATTTGTCATTTTCACCAGAATATGAAATCCTGAATCCTGTGTCCGGATTGGAGACACCAGGCAGGAGATGTTTTCAGCATTCTGAGACTCCAAAGAGTAACATTTCAAAGCAGGAGATGACTGCTTTTATCAGTTGACCTTTATCTGGAGTGTAAAAGATAAGGCTGCATTTATTTCATATTTCTCTTGTCACAAATCCCATGAAAAGACAATATAGTAGTAGTCTGTTGCTCAATAGTTCCTGACTTCCTCAGTCTGTTTCTTTAGCCCAAGGCCCATGTGTTCCTACTAAAGATGCAAATCTTTAAATATGGCTTACAAATGTAAAACTTAAAAAAGCTCAATAATTTCCTGAAACAGCAGGGGACTGAAGTTTTCCGAAACATGAATCAAGTGTGTATTTGTTGGGGAATGCGTGTCAAAATAAACTACAGTGTGTGTGTGTGTGTGTGGGTTTCCTGGTTGTGATCCTTCAGATAGAGAAGGTTCTGGCCGGTGGTGATCGCATTATTGCGTTCCCCAACGGGACAAAGAAGGAGATTTCCGCAGACGGACTGACTGTCAAAGTCACCTTTTTCAACGGAGACACTAAACAGATCACAGCCGACCAGAGAGTGGTGAGTAGGGATGTGAAATACAAAAAACCCCACTGTGTCGTGATTAGGCGTGGGACAATATGAAAATTTCATGTCAGAATTATCTTGGTGAAAATATTATCACGATAATCATGAAAATATACTAAATGTACTAAGAAACATTTATTGCATCACAGATGCTCTACTCCCTGTATGCTGGAGAGCTAGACAGTTTTTTCAAGTCAACTACTGACGATTATCACAGTTATCACGATAATGGAATGTGCTTTTATTGCAATACGTGATAATACTATATATTGTATATATCTTAATCAATATATTTTCTTTGGTGATATTGTATAGATTCTCAAACTATCGATTTGTGTGTTTAAACTCACAACTGAAAATAACAAGAGAATAAGAGTGTGTTTAGTGCTACAGAAAGCCAGGCCAAGACTGTTGAGCAGGTTTTGTTACAACAGAGGTTTTGTTAAAGGGCTCAAGGGCAGTAACTGTTGAAGGAGGGGAGGGAGTGTCTGACTAACTTTTCCCAGTCAGATTTGTTGGTTGAGATTTAAACAGGAGGACCAGAGGCAGTCCTCACACACACACTGAATATCTCAAGCTCATAAAAAATGTATGATGGATGATTCCCCCTCCTCTACCTGTACACATTTGGGGTTAAATTTAAACACCCTCTACCTTCTTTGCTAAGATTTGAACACAAATATGCTCCTTGTGTAAATACTTACACTGAACAAAACATTAGTTACCATTTTTCTATCAGTTTTGCTAAAAAGACTACAAAGATTTACTAGAGTGTAAATCTGTTCTTGTGAAGTGATAAAAGAAGGTTGCAAACAGTCTTGACTCAATGTGGCAGTCAACATACTTAAAGCTTCTCTAATATCTGAGGGAAAATAGTCTTACCTTGATTTGTTGTTTTTATCCAGTAATATCAGAGTGATGTGAAAAGAAGAGATTTTCATTTGTGTAGAGCTCACAGCTTAAACCTTGAGCAGTCTGTTGTGGAATAAGCTCAACATGAGAAGCATGTTTGCTGTGCTACCCATCTGAATTCATCTACTGGTGAGGCTGTAATCCCGGCTCTGCTCCTTGTGCTCAGATCTACTACTACGCTGAGACCCAGACCACACACATCACCTACCCAGATGGCATGGAGGTGCTGCACTTCCCCAACAACCAGACTGGTGAGAGTTCGTTGAGATTTTGTGTCATCACTGACATTGTTTGTTGTCGTGATGTCTTCAAATATTAATGATGGCGGGGCTAATTGTAACTACTTTATATACTGTGGTGGAGCTTAATCTTTAATAATGTATCATTTATTATGGAGTGAAAAGTACAATATTTCCCTATTAAATCTATGTGATGGAGTAAAAGTATAACGTAGCCTATAATAAGTACCTCTGATCTTTCCACCACTGGAGTTTGACAGCTTAGTTATCAAGTGGTTTTATTTTGATTTATTAATCTAATTGGAACACGAGTGGAAAAACATTTTATAGGCATTCCTCAAAGGATTCAACTTAAAAAACAAACAAAAAAACTTTGACTTTTGTCACAGGCTGTGTGTCGATCACCACAAACTGCACATCAGTGACTGAAACCAGCATGCTTATGATTACACCGCGTTCTACATTAGTTTTATTTTTTATCTCCACTCCAGAAAAACACTTCCCAGATGGCCGTAAGGAAATCACTTTCCCGGACCAGACTGTGAAGAATCTGTTCCCCAACGGCAGGGAGGAGAGCGTGCTGACAGACGGGACCATCATACAAGTCAACCCGTAAGTAAAGACCACAGCTCCGGCTCTCTGCGTCTGTTCTGATGACAACCAGCTTGGGAACCACTGGACTAAACTAACTAGTTAAACTAGTTAAAACTAGTAATATAACAGTAACACTACCACTGGAGACGAGTAGTACTATAAGAAATGAGCTGAGTTTCTGACTGATGACAGGAGTTTGTTTCTGTTTTAAAGTCTCACCTACTTCCACCTTAAATAAAAACTAACTGGGTGTGAATGCATGCTGCCTCTGTCAGGGACGGCACCAAGGAGATCCATTTCAACACAGGCCAGAAGGAGATCCACACGGCCGACTACAAGAGGAGGGAGTATCCGGACGGTACCGTGAAGACGGTCTACAGCGACGGCAGGCAGGAGACCTGCTACCCCACCGGACGGCTCAGGATCAAAGACAAAGATGGCAATGTCATCGTGGACAACAGGCCGTCTTAATGAGAACTTTAAACCTTTTATGGTTCCCAAGGCTAATTTTTGAGAAAACCCAGAATCACTCGTCTCCTCTCTGCTCCACGAGGAGGTCAAAGGTCAGCTGGTTAGGATTTAGTGCTGCCAAAATCAGAGGCAGAGCTGCAGCTGATAGTCCACAGTAAGAGTGTGAGGAAGTCATAAGCCTTTAATAGCATTTAATGTATTTTTTGTTGTAAAGTGAGAAAGTTGATCCTCCTGCTTGTTAGAACTCTTACAGGCACAGCACTCCTGCACAGGTGATTTCACTTATCCTGGCTGAGGGGGGGTCTGCTCAGTCTGAAGGTGGGCAGAGCTTTGTGGGAATTACGTGCATGCACTAATGGACCATTTTCATATCAGACATTGTGACTTGTAGCAGGAAAAACACATTTCCTGAACAAAGGCTCAGTTCCATTAAGCATTACATACCTGAGCTTTTCCTGCTACGACTGCCAACTGTCTGCTGTGAAACAAGTGTAATTTACCCCACCCTGGCAGGTGCAACACAGCTCACAGCTGAGCAAGGTGGATGTCAATCAAACACAGTGCGTACATTTCCGCTCACTGTTGAAGCTGCAGTCAGATCGGATTTTGCCTGAATTTACCGTGGCAAGAAGCAGGCGGGTACGGGCATAAACATAAACTGCAGCAGATAGCATGCTAACAGCAGCAGTTGTGAATTATACAGCATTTTCAGTACAGTCAAACAGCAGCCCTGCTCCCCTGCTGCTTTTATTATTTCACTGTGCACCTATACAACAAGAATATAAACAAACCGTACTACTGAATGGCAGGAAATTCCCACTCACTCTGTAGAAACAAGCTCGAGCCTTGTGACTGTGCCCAAGTTCAGTCGGATGGAATTTGGTGTGAAGCGAAAGAGGCTACTACAGACAAATGCATCTCTAGTCCACTTAGAAATGAATGGGATGCAGTCAGTCTGCAGCATAAGGGCTCCATTCATTTCAAATAAGTGAATTCACCTTTGTTGGTGTGCAGGTGCTTTAAGGGAAACAGACTGTTTAAAGTCACTCTTGCTCCCACACCAGCACATCTTAGCTGCCATACCTTCACTCTTCTGTCTGTCTGTAACATGCCACGCCCCTCTCCCCACAAAGGTACCATGTGGAGTTTCCTTAAATACAATTTTACATTCAGTGCTTCTTGCCAAAACACTCCCTGAAGTCTAACTAACGGGCTCAAGGCATTCCCTTCCCCAGGAATCATTTGCAATGTAGATGTTAGAATATTTTTAACTCTTGCAGTCTTCAACTTCACTGCTACGTGTAATAGTATGAAATAAGCAGCAGGAATGTGCGTCATACTATGTACCTGTGTGCAACCAACTTAGAAACACAACATCTCTCATAGTACTACTAGTGGTTAAAAATGCAGCAGGATACCTTTGAGACTAAAGCGGTTTCATCTTGTTAATGGGGGTTCCTGCTTTCTTTGTTCAACGAGGACACGCAGGTTACACTATTCCACTGATCTACAGGTTGTGGTAATGCAGCAAGAGATGTAGCAATGTGCCGACACATTACCATGGATGTAAACAATGCAGTAACAGTTACAAACAGGATGTATGCAAGAAAACTCCACAGGGCATCTTTAAAGTTTCAGTAATTCAAAGAATGTCTCTGAAACTTTGCAATGAAATCCCTCCTTTAGTCAGTAGACTGATGATCTACTAACTAAAGAGTGAGTAGGCTGTCTATTGTTTGTACTGCTACCACCAAACTTCATTCAGTGTTAATCTGAATATTTTAACAATAACTTATGTTGTTTACATTTTCAGTTAAAGGCCTTAGAATAATGAAGTGCTGTAGAGAAACTACCAGAGCAGCAGATTCAACAGAACTGCTTCAGTGTGTGAAGTGTGTTTGGTTTTAAGTGTTTACAGCTATTTTAATTTGTAAAAATGTTAATACATATTTATATTTATTTTCTTAGCTGACTGTATATGTTTTTGTAAAATAAATGTTTTGTTTTTTTTTAATTCCAGAATGAGTTTGTTTTGTTTGTGGAGGTGTAACTGCAGCAGGACAGGTCTCTGTACATTACTGAAAACAGTACAGACAGACAGGTTAGAGTATTGGAAGACTTTAATCTGAACCTTCATACAGACAAGTCTGTCTCACATGAGTCAAATGAGTAGAAAACAAAGTGCTTAGTCAACACAGCTCCCTCAAACACAAAACAGACAAACTTAAAGTAAGTCACTGCTCTACAGTGAACGTTAAGACTCCAAATGTTCATATAAAACCAAGAACAGCCGTCAAACAGCACAACAGAATGAAATCAACGTGAACAAAACAGGACGTCTGCGAGTAAACCTAAAGAAAGACGAGATGGGGAATTTATTAGTAGCTGAAAATGCCAATGTGATGTTTTATGTCTTCAGCTGGTTCAACAGTTAACTATCTGATCCAATTGGGATTTATGGCAACTTCATTATATATTAATCTTTACTTCTTTGTCATTAACTTATAAAGTGTTGAGCTTTCTCAGCAGCTGTATTGAGTCTCTGCTCATATATTGCATGCATTGTGCAATAATGTGATGTTTAAAGTTCAGAGATGCACATTTTAAAAAGCTCTAAATTCTACATTTGTGTTTCTCTGGTATTTGAAATGAAGCTGAAAACTCACCCTGTGGGTTGAGGAGGTCGTCTGCACTGCTTCATTCCAGCTCAGCCAGTCCGCTGCTCACCAGAGGAAGATGGATCAACTCTCCCTCCTCGTTGTACAGCAGCACTGTGAGCTCTGGTTCCCGGGCCTGAACACAGAGGCAGACAGAAAGGGCTCATGAAGGCAGCAAGATACTGACTGAAAAGAAGTCATGTCTCGTGCTCTGACAAACATCTGTGAGACCAAAGGTTAGACACACTGTCAATGTGCTACAGAGACTTGAGCATGGAGGACTTGGCGTGTTTGCATTGGAAACCTTCTTGACTTGTGCCAGTGTACGGTAGCTGTAGAAACAGAATGTAGACTTTCTTTAACCACACAACCTGCATTTAAACAGTTCAAACTCATTTCAGGTTTAAGTATTATTAATGGCCTGTAACTAATTGAATCGACTGCACATTGATAGCAACAGTAATTTTTTTTTGTAAAGCCTCTGGAAAATATAATTCTTCTGAAATGTTCCCGCAGTAACGATAGTTTCCCTGGCAATGCCAGAAATAATACCAGTAATAATTGTGCTATTTAAAGAGAGTCAATGGAGTTTATAGTACACATTAAACTAATAATGAAAACAATCAAAAGCAAATATTCAAAGTGTTCCTCAAAGATATGTTTTTCTTCTTGAAGAAGACGACTGCATGCTAGTAAACATGGATGTAAACAGTGCAGGTTTTGGTGACACTACTGCTCCAACGATGCCTTTTATTTTTCTTTCCTCATTTAAAAAAACCGTCCGCTGTGCGTTTCTTACCACGACCGTGGCTGAGATGTTGCTGTGTAACAGGTCGATCATGTGCATTGCAGCCTTCACGCTCCACTTGGGGCTGTAGGGCAGCACGTCTCCCTGCTTGCTGACGCTCGGAGCCTTGAAGCCCGCGACTTTAACCTTGAGCGCCCGTAATGAAAACCCCAGCAGCTTGGCCGGCATCTGGCGCAGCCTGACAGGAAGTGACAGAACATTAGAACAACACATCAATGTATCCACAACAGCAGATCAGACACATCCAAGGGGCTTCAGTGGCTAGATCTAAACAAACAAGTTCTCACACTCTCAGCAGATTTATTGGAGCACCAATACCCAACTACTGAGAGCAATTCACTGTCACATACAAACAGAAGTTCTCTAATAATCCCTTACATAAGTCCTTGAATCTGTACTAACTTGTGGAAGCCAATAATAAACACCCACTGCACACCTGTGTGTTTACTTCTGTTTTGTATATAATTAAAGTTTTTCTTATATACTAAATATGATGCTGCGTTGCCATGATCACACATTTTATTATTCTGAGGCGATGATAAATGGTTTTCTGAAGTTCATTTATATTTTAATAATACCAATGTATCAAATGATGTGAGGACAATGTGAAAGGGGTCACCCACCCGTAGTGATCGACCTACAGGGTATTGGCTTTATCTGCCGCTGCCCTCAGCTTTATGGAGCCTTACAGTTTTAGATCATGGTTTAGCTGTCAGACCCACACCTGTACAGTTCTGGGTCACTGTTATTTGAATAAAACTACTCTCCTGTAGTGCGTGAAGTTCATACTTGCTATTTGGGAGAGTGTCGTCAGAGCCAAAGTCTACATGTTGGACCAGGACCATGACGGGCTCCACACTGGTGAACTTTACCAGCCTGGCCCGGTAGTACTTCCCATCACTGTACTCGGCCAGACATGGACTGCCTGGGAACCACAAGCAGAAAGTCAGGACTGTCCAACTCACTGAACTCTGCTCAGCGATTCGTGTACTTGTGGACAAAACGTTCTCCTTCCTCAGGATTATTCTTCTCAACAGATCAGTCAACATGTGACTGAGAAGTCTGCAGAAAAAACTCTGAACTGGACAAATCCTGTTTTTTGGTTACATATTGTTTGTCCTTCTTAACAAGAAAAGGTGCAGGACCACTGGAACACACACCAGTGCACTCTGTCCACAAATGGATTAGAACAGTAGTATTATCAGACAATGTTTCAATCAGAGTGGGGTATTCAGAGATCCAGCTGGCATTAGAAATGAACATTTTAATCTTTCACTTTAATAAATGTGATGATTATTATTTTATTTTTGAAAGCCGGGAAACACAAGCGGTGAACACAGTGAAAGGTTACCATGAGGAAAGCTGGTGAGTCGTGGCAGAATGTTGATGTTTGCATTGATTCTGGTCAGAGCCTCATCCAGAGTCTCTCCATCCACCTCTTCATCAGCTATTCCCTCCAGAGGCCACATGAACAGCTAATGGACAGACAAACACGGATCAATTATCAGCAGAAGCATTTATTATCAGTTTAAACTTCTTTTATTATGTTAGTTGCAGTTGTAAGGCAGTGTGCAATTTAATCCCCGTGATTTCATTTTGACAAATCTTCTGTAAATTATGTCTCTTCACTCTATTTTAGTGTCTAAAAAGTTCCTGGCAGGCTCAAAGAGAACTCCAATACACATCCATCCTTTACTAAACTGACTCAGTTTACCTAACAAGGATCACGTTCCCATCAAATAATAATAAACAGTCCTGTCATTAGTGCTCGGTAAATTCATGAGTACTACAGCACGTACATCAGAATTTGTTTACTATATAATGTCTGTTTGGTCGGTAGCTACCTCATTGGGGGTCAACAGGTGCTTGACCTTGACTCGAAACTGCTGCCCTTCCTGTGGCAGGTTTGGGTAGATAAAGGGCCCAAGCATCGGTTCCTCTGGGCCCCTCTGACCCTGGAGACACAGCATCTGCATCAGTCTTAAACCCAGTCCACAATGCACAATCCATTTCAGTTTAAAGATCTCTAGTGTTTGGTAAGAGCAGTGACACTCATTTATATATATGTTTAGCCAGAGAACCAAAACAACGTGCCGACACCTGCGTAAGGCTGCTGAGCTGGGTGTTCTCAGTTGATGCAGCACTAGGAGTGCTGTCTCCTTTCACATTACAGGGAGTTATTTGACTCCGTGTTAATACTGCAAATACAATCTTCTTGTTTAACTCTGTAGTTTTGTTTCATTATTTCCTTGGTCATACTAAATCAAGTAATTCAGGTAAGCAGCACTATATGGCCTGGTCTGTATCTCTCCTTTGGGACTGATGTTGAAAAGTAAGTCAAACTGAGTGGTGGCTGTTTTCAAAATTAATTTTCCAATCTCTTCATTCTACCTCAGTGTCGATGTCCCAGTCGTCCAGAATTGGGGCAGGAGACATCACCGAGTGTCCCTGCAGAGAAACACAGATATTCCTGAGTAAATTATGGCAGCACGTCCTCATTTGAAACACGGAAACAGAAACCGACACAAAGGCGACCTCAGACCTTCTGTGGTGAGACAGTCCGGTCCATGGAGGCGTGGTCATGATGAGACAAGATCTTGCTGAGACTCAACCCATCCAAGAAGAGCTCAACTGTGAGGGGACCCCTTGGGTCAGTCGGCAGCTCCTACCACACACACACACACACAGGGTCACCAACTATATAACTAGTAGAGTAGTTGACTACTAAAAGCACTATTGAGTGCTGTGGGCTGTAGATGATCATGGATTATCGGATTATATTATCCCCAGATTTACAGAAACGTTTCAAACAACAATGCCTGTACATATCTGTGTGTAATTATACCATGACTTGTATGTCCACACAACGGTTCAGCAACATCTCCTTCATTAAGGCCACTGCATCCCACTGCCACCTACCACCAACCTGAACAGACATAAACATATCAAGACAGTTTACTTATCAGCTACCTCATTTAATAACAAGTTAATCTTCTGTAGCTGTGTGGTTTAATACGCAACCCTTACAGGTCACAGAAGGACACATTTAGTATAGTTTTTTCGGCTTTTATGCCCTTATTTGATAGTGACAGCTGGAGATATGTACAGGAGTTGGGTTGGGAAGAGAGAGGATGAACACGCAGCAAAGGACCAAAGGTCGGATTCGAACTCTTGGTCTTTATCTGTTGCTAGTGACTTCATGCTCAGTACATTTTGGGATAGTGTTGACGTTATATCATGATATTTTAAGTATTTCGCGATTCTCAGAATTAAAATCGTCTCTGATTCTTAATATTGTTGTTTCTGATACTTTTAAGTTATAGTATTATCTGAGCTCTAATCGGGGTATTTTATTATCTGTTTATCATGTTTTTGTCTTCTTATATATGTATCTTTTTGTATGTTTCTTTCTTGGGTCAGTTCATTCAATAGTATGCTGTTATGTATCTTTTGTTATATATTTTTTCTTATATTTGGTATTTTTTCAAAATGTAATATGTCATGGGTGAATACGCCACTTAAGATAATTTTATAGCTTGTCTCTCTCTATATTTTATCTTACACTGTTCTTGTATATGTTATGTATTTTGTGTTTGTAATATTCTGTCTTTTATTGTTTCTTATTTCACGGTGGGTGATATTCTATCTTCTGTGTAGTTCCGTGTTGAATCGATCAACAGGACAGATGTCCTGCCTACAAATGGTCATAGCTTATGAATGCAATGTTGCTATGTGGCAGCTGAATGGTGAAGCTCTATCCATGATTTTAATTCAAGTTAAACATGTTGTAACTTTAAAGAAAACTAGAGCGGACATTAGCCATGTTGAGCCACCAGGCCCCTGATGGGTCAGAAAAACTCATTTAAAAATAACAGTGAGAGTGAACTGGGAAAATGTTGTCTGTGCGGTAAGTTGTAAGCAGGTATAATTTACTGGGCTACAAAACCACTGGAACTGTCCTTTAAGATGTTTCCTGTAATTTAATTTTAAGTATTTTTTCTTTTATTCTTGCTGATTATTGTTGTTGATTATGATCATTTAAATAATTATGGATTTAATTTAGAATATCAAATATTTTTAGCTAGTGCATGGACACACAGAGACTCTTACAGGGTTGATGCCATGTAGCTGGCAGGGCATACAGAGCTGAGGAACATCGTCACACAGCAGTATGGGGTACACATGAACCACTGGGATGTTCTCCACCAGGCCACAGTCCACGTATTGTACCTAGTAACACACACACACACACACGCAAGAACATTACCAAAAATAAAAAAAACAACAACAAAAGAACACAGAAATATTTATTTTGCTTAATGTATATGCAGTTCAGCATAAAATATTTGTTATAGACTGGGCTGTGCCATAAAAGTCAACCCTGAGTTGATTCATATTTTGTCAGTCGAATCAATGCACCTTTTGTTGTTACGTCATTGTACACAGAGCAATGCAGGAGCAACAGCATGGCAGATTGTAAACATTTAATGGGAACGGAGGGCAGTGATCAGTGGCCTTTATCTCTCATGAATATTAAATTGTCTGTGTTCTCCAATCTCCTTAAATGGTTCATAAAAAGACTCTTTAAAATTCCAAGGAAAGTTTTTTGTGTGTGTGTCTTTCTGACCTTAACATGTCCTCCCAGCACCTCCAAAAGCTGTCCTCGATACCACAACATATCAGGTCCAATGACGGCACAGCCCAGGACTGACTTCCAGGTATAAGGCTTCTGTCTGGGCAATGTCTTCATGCTCTGCTGAATCCTCTCCCTAAGCTGCTCCAGCTGACACTCTGACACATCGAACACACCACATACACATATACCACCACTTAAGCCAAGCTTATTATTTTAAACATTCCTTGAGTTTTGTTTGCACTGCCCTTTATTTCAATGTATCGAAACTGAAACACAGAGTCATCCTTAAATTAAAATAAAGCCAATAATAAATTAAAAAAGCAGATACAAAGCTGTTTGGCCCCAGATAAATTCTGTTTTTTGTTCAATACTTATACTAAGAAGTACCATACCTAAACCCTAGCCTGTATAATTAAAAAGGGACAGAGTCTCTGTGACATCGCCCACAGGTTTCTGAAGCATTGTTGTGAAGCTCAGTGTGTTCTAGGGCTGTGTATTGGCAAGGTACGATTCAATATATAGTGATATTATTCTGCTGTAAAGTTGGGCATTTTAATATAGGGCTTCATGGAGAATTACTCACTTCTGGAGCCAGCCTCAAGTGGCTGCTTGAAGAACTGCAGTTTTCGACATTTCCGTGTTGGCCTCATTTGCCAGCAACAGAGGTTGCTGCTTGACCCTAACATGTGGTTGTTGCTTTTGTTTTACACATACAGTTGTTCTTTCACCCCTCCTCATGTTTTATCGCAGTTTTTTTTTTTTTTTTTTACAAAACTGTATTAAGTTTTGAGTCAAATTTCTATTTTTATAATAAGGAATAAACAATGGAATAAAAAAAGTTTGTAGTATTTAAAGGTATCAGTTAATCTCAGCATTCGCTCCGTGACAATTTGGTGTTATGTGCACCTGCATTCTGTGTTCTGGCATAAATGAGACCGTCTTCCCTGATGGCACAGACACTTATCTGGATGTGACCAAGGCATGGCAGCTCTGGGGGTTGGTACAACTGAGTCTTCACCTGTACATACACACACACAAACACATACAGAGAATACAACCAACATTATGAATTCACACACACTTTATGTTATTCAGTAGATTCTAAGATAAATTCTCTTCACAATGTCCCTCAAATGTTCACCCTTTACAGGGCAAGGCAGTGCAAGTTCATATCTACAGCGCCTTTCAAGAACAAAGCAATTCAAAGTGCTTTACATGAGACATTAAAAAGCATTATGACAGGATATAAAAGAAACAGGAAAACACGGAAATATAAAACATATGCAGAAGATAAAAATATCTTGTTGCCTTTAATCGATAGGCAGGTATTATTGTGTTTATATGGAATCCAAGTGGATCAAACTGGTTTCTCGACCAGAGAGTGACTGTGTGTGTTATCACCTTCTCTGCAGACATAATGGTGCGGGGAGCTGGTTTTGGATGGGTGGGTGTGGAGAGGGAGGACACGGAAGGGAGAGGAACTAGGGAAGGAGTTGAGGGAGTGTTTTTTTTGTCGCCAGAGCCATCAACTTGTATCTCGCTCACTAGAGACTGTTCATCAGTTTCTTTGGGGTTTTGAATGACCGCATCTCTGCAAGAAGACAGATACACACAGCTAAAGGGAAAAAGAGTGCCCACTAACATTAGACAGACATTGGATTCAAATTACAAACCGAATAACAGCCACTGACTACTGGCACAATGCTCTGACTATTAAAAATGCAATAATGTGGTTCTAAAATATCATACAAGTACCTTGTGACTGCAGAAGTGGTTATCATTATAATCTTCAATTGGACTGTTTTTGCTAGTCAGAAGTAAATATTACAATTAAACAATTTAAGATATTGCTGCCTCCATATTTTTCAATGTATTTAGAGCTTCCTGTGGTAATGTCTACCAGAAAGAGATATGTGGAGAAAAGATAGTTGGCTTATGTTATTCAAGACCTGTAAATCATAATAATCACACACACTTCCATGCATGTGGCACACACACACACACACACACACACACACCTTGGTTTTCTTTTCCTGAGGGCGAGGCCCTCGCTGGCCAGAAAGTCTGCAATGCTGACAAACTGTCCCATCCTGTTGGAGCAAAACAGTGTAACAGGCACTGGACGCTCATCTGTCAACTCCTAGACAACAACAGAGGAGAGGGACACACATACTGAAAGTAGGTCATTACATCAACAACCAAAATAAGTGCATAGTGGAGAGAAATAGTGAAGGAAACTTGAGCAACAAACTTCAGCAAAAGGAAAAGGAGAAAGAAATTGGGGCATAAGGAAACGAGAGAAAGACCTTGATGGTCATAACAGCCGAGGCTCCGGTCAGGTAGTAGGAGATTAAATCGCAAGCTGTAGCCGTCCAGGTGGAGCTGCCCCCTGCTGGCCTGAGAGAGAAAATTGAGAGGGAGGAAGAAGTCAAGGTGAGAAAAAGTGAACTATGAAAGAGTGAGAAAGAGGTGGAAACCAGAGAATGCACATTTCACCCCCCATAAAATACTAAAATTGTAAAGCAGCTGTCATAAGAACACAGACACACACTCACACACTGTGTGAAACTCAGTGTGAAGTATTTGAACAGTTCAAAAACTCCATGTACTGCATTTAAATCACATTATTTTGAAAAGATGAGAATAGTTAAACATTGTGATATAAAGCACATTATTACATACAGATATAAATATTAGATTCTTCTTTTTTATGGATGAATAAATACTGTATGTTTAAAAACAGTGGGTGTCGCAGTGTGAATGTGTAGCGGTAACCTGATGTCAGTAAGAGTGCACTCCAGTGCAAAAGAGCCTATCAAGGAGGACGGCAACGGCCGCAAGTTGCTGACATGGAGCTTCACCGTGTTGCCATGGTCACAGCGCATCACCTGTTCCCAGCCAGTAGAAAGACAGGGAGAGACAGTCACTATAACACATTCAAACAAGATTTAAAAAATAATAATGTAATGAACACGTGTGTATGTGTGTGTATATATATATATATATTATGAAAACTCTGACTTACTGACTCAAATAGTTGTAAAAAGGATGTAGTACAAGTTCAATAGTTTCAGGCTGCTCTTTAGGAACAAGTTTTTATACCTCTGCAATGTTGCTGGATGTGACGTCAGAGCCAATCTGTCCTCTCTCCCAAACCCCGTTAATGTGAGCAGCACAGTACATGTCTGCCTTCCACGTCACATCTTGGGGCTCCATAATTGCACACTCCTGCTTTACCAGCTCACACATTCTGAAAAACACATCACAGAACTAACACTATATGCTTGCAATATCATATGACCAGCAGGACCTTTCCTTGATTAGATTTATTTAACTATGGTAGGAATGTTCATTGCTCAAATGACCCCTCAAGGACTCAGCCGGGGGCTGAGCTATCAGGGCACCGCAAGATTGCATTTGTGAAAGTAGTACTCATGATTAACACTAGGTATTCTACAGTACAGACAAATCAAGCCCTTGACTGGAAGAAGCTGATTTTCCTGTAACAATATTTGATTTATTCAAAGGATTTTAAAATCATGGTTTTGCTGCTAACTTTTTGAGCTGAGAGTCGTTCTGGGTGAGCTGGACATAGAAGCTGCTCGGTGAGTTGACGTGGCTGACTCTGACTTTCAAGTCTTTGAGTTGTGCAGGGAGCTTCAGCTGAGGCTGAAACTCAAGCGGCTCCCCATTCTGATCTCCGGTGATTTTTTGGTTTGCGGAATCAGCGCCCTCCATGGCAAAACCAAGCTCAAGTGGAGGGTCCCAAATGGCCGAATCATCATTGGACTTGGACTGTCTGCAGGGAAGGAAAGAAGAATTGGAGGAATAGTGGGGGACAGTAAGAGAAGAAAAATGTATTAATAATGCACAACAAAAAAGTGGAGTGACAGCAAAAGGATGGAGGGAAAGAGTGTAAAAGAAAGAATAAAATGACTATAATAAAGTTAAGAAGTACAACAGCGAAAGATGAACTGAGAATTGAAATGAAAGTAGGGATAGAAGTCATTGAGTCAACTCTCACCCCTCTTTGAAGCAGGCCAGCTCCTCTTTGACCAGCAACTCAGCTATGTTGTCTAGAGGCCCGTTCAGGCCGCTCTCAAACAGTTTGACTGGCAGAGGCTCACTCTTGGGGACGGCTGCTGGAACGGGTACAGGGGGAAAAAAATGGTGACAAAACACAAAATTAGTTTTGGTGACGAGTACTCCATTCTCCTCCAAAAGAAAAACAACAACACACGGCCATGCACACAGTTAACGTTGTGAGGCAGCTGGTCTTGTGAGATCATGGAATCACGCAAGTCTTAAACCTATGTGTTTGTGGCCGGTACCAATCATCATCTTTTGAGGGAATAACAAGGGTGGGTGCTAGGTGTGACGCAACAAGATAAACAACAATGGCGGCTTCTAAAAAAAGCATCAGTTATATCACAACTGGGGAGTATTTCTTTATTGAAAGAAGAGTAAAGAACAGCACTGAAGTCGTTTCTCGATGTAAAATGTTTTTGATCTTCTGGCTTTGGGAAGTTTGAGAGTTTGTCCGCGATAGACAGATTGTTCATCCAATGACAGTATTTTTTGAAAGTGCCTATCCTTTTACAGTTTCCAATGACAACTTCCCAGATGGTTCTGTGTAAAAAAACAACAACTAAACTGGCGCAGTAATGTTAGCAAACATACCTGTAGCCACAATAGTGACCAGTTTCTGGTGAGCTAGTTTGATGAATCTGTTGGTGCAGACATCACTCCAGGTGTCTCCATCCAGAGGAATCATATCAGACAGACAGCAGTGGATTGCCTGGACAGCAGAAGAGTCAGTTCCTGTTGACTTAAACCCGCACTCAACCCCAACATACACAAAATCTTAAGACCAGGGGAAAAATTACAAGTATTCGCATTTTGTGCTGGTGGAACATAACCAGGTTGTAAGTAGTGTAAAAATGCAAAATGAAGACACAGGAGCAAGTGACACAAAAATAGAATAGGCAATTTATTGAAAACTGCGTTTAAAGTAAATAGGCTGTTCATCGGCTGATCAAAAGTTTAAGACCATAGCCCAAAAAAACCTAAAAACAGAACTATGTTTGGTGCTTCCTTGCAAAGCGCAAACGGGCAAGTTTGTGGCGTGGGAGGAGACGTGGCCTTTGAAGAAATGTTTTGTTCTTTAAGCCCTTCAGTCTCAGATGCTGTCTGATGGTTATTCCGTCGGATCCTCTGCCTCAGCGCAGGTGAATTTTTTTTAAGTCTACCACTTTACTTTTTTGTCCAATAACCCTCAGGATCTTTTAAGAAATTTAAAATGACTTACTGCATCCAACCTCGGCAGCGATGGCGTGTTGCAAGAGGCCTTCCTTGTGCAACTCAACAATCCTGCCACGTTCAAAGACAGAAAGCCTTTTTGCCTTTGCCATCAGGGGGTCATGACAGTGTGAATGCCTGATAGAAAATTACATGAAAGCCTATTTGAGTTTAAATGCAGTTTTCAATAAATTGCCTATTCTATTTTCGTGTCACTTGCTCCTGTGTCTTCATTTTGCATTTTTACTTACAACCTGGTTATGTTCCACCAGCGCAAAATGCAAATACTTTTCCCTTTTTTCCCTGTTTTGTATAAACATTTGTATAATGTATATTATTTGCTAATGGAAACATTTTAGCATAATGCAATTTAAACAGGCTTTAAGGACTACTTCTTGAATGTTTCATACAGTATGTCCAAAGTAAAGTCTATATAGGCTACAAAAATATATTGAGTAAGTAGTACAGGAACTCATTTTGGCTGATTTTAATGCTACAGAACTGGTATCAGAAAACAACAGATCAATTGCAGCATATGGTATCTTATCTAGACATTATCAAAACAAAAAGACGGATGGTCACATTTTGCTATTACTCATGAAGGCAAACTTACAGCAGGTACAGATCATGTTGTTTTCTCATTACAAAAGTAAAATCAAATGCTGTGTTCTCACCATGGAAGGAAGGGCAAAGAACTCATCCTTGATCTTCCTCAAGTCACTGACTGACAAGATGTTCCTATTGCCAAAGTCTACATACTGCACCTCCACTTTTCTGCCCCCTGGATGACCTACATGCGTGCGCGCACACACACACACACACACACACACACACAAAAACAACAGGTCATTTACAACACTAATATTTTAGTTACAAACTTAGTAACAAAACAGTTGAACTTAGGGCTGTGTGATATTTCAATGTATATCTGATATACATTTTCTGTGACAATAGAAAAAAAGTCTGTTGTTTCACCTTTTCATTTATTTCATTGCGTCATAAATCAGTTCATGAGATAAATCACAAACTACTTTAATCTTTAATTTGAGTATATAATTCAAAATGCATTAAGATTTCCATGTGGTCATTTTGCTCATACTATTTATTTATTATCTATCAACTATTTATTCATTGAATCTACATAAATTGTGTTATACTGTGATATATATCGTTATCAGGATATAAAATGACCCATACTGGGATATGACATTTTGGTCATATCGCACAGGCCTAGTTGAATGTATAGTGCAAATACGTTTTTTTTTTTTGGCCAACTTATACTGTAAACTGAAGGGATTCTAAAAATGCTATGAAATCTTAATTATTCATCTAATAAAAAGGTGGACGAGATAGTTCACAAGAAGAAGTAAAAATTATGTCATTTACAAACAAAGAAATATTTACAATACAATAAAATAAAATAAAACACTAAAACTATGGTAATGTATACTTACTTACTTGTCAATAAGCGCAACTGACCGTATGAAGTAGTTTGCCTTGTGATCCAGCAGAGGCCGCTCCACTATCAGCTTGACTTATGGCATGCCCTACTGACCTGTCAGTAAACTAAGCTAGTAATTTGATGTTATTTTCTATTTACTATAAAATAGAGGACACTGGTAAGCAAAGCATGGAGCAAAGCCGCGTTGTACAGACAATCACGACGACAAAGCAGCTGTCTTACTCTATAACAACAACAAATCTGCAGACTAACTAACATAACTAAGGAGGCACCACAGATGACCGAAACGACGTCACGTGTTCAACCTGACCGTCTGACTGCTACTATTTGGCAATATCAGCTTCAGCAGGCCAGCTACCAGCAGCTTGTAAAAATGCGTCACCAATAAGAGAGAAAGACTTATATGCATATGCAGCCCATTGATGTTAAGAGAATGTAATAAGAAAATGTATTATCCTTCAGATTAGTCTTAATGTTACGTTTTCCATTTGTACATATGTGTTTTGAGATTATTTGATCGAATTCATTTGAATGAATTGGTGTCATTTAAAATTAGTTTGAACTTGACAGCCCTACTGACAGCATATGCAGCTGGGGATGCATATAATATCACTTGCAGTTTTTTTACCCAGGCCAAACTGTCATCACCACAAACAAACAATTCCACTTAATGTGATCAAAGGCTGTCTTTTTATAGCATTCCAAGATCTTTTACTGTGTTCAGACAGGATACGTCACAAATTTTTGACTGTGACAAAACCAAGCCTCGTCCAGCAGACATTCTGACAAAATAAACTGGATATATTGATTGAATCACTATTAGATTACACTATTGCATTAATACCCACTACTATGACATACATTTATTCAAACACATCCTCACCTATGACTTTGGCTCTGTACCACAACTTGTCATCATAGCGGGCAACATAGGCCTGTCCTATCACAGGGCAGTAGACATTGAGGTCTTCTTCTCCAGCCATTGTTGTTGCATTGTAACAATCCTGGAGCTTGGCTGAGAGCAACAGGGGCTCTGTGTTATCAACCTGGTGGAGGTTGACAAAATGAAAAGAGGGGGAAATGAAAAAGAAAAAAATACAGAAAAAAGAAGTTGTGTTTTGAATATATGAAATGTTTTCTCCCCTAGTTTTTTTCTCTTGTAAATTAAATTATATCACTGGCATTTAAACCCCGTTTGACCGTATTTTATATAAATGTGTGTGTGTGTGTGTATATATGTATATATATATAGTGCATGTGTGTTTATTTGTGCGCATATTTCATACCAGCTGGATGTAGAAGTCAGCAGGGTTGTTGATGTGGGACACCACAGCATTAAGCTCTTTGTTGATACTGGGACAGACAGGGGGGTAGTACAGCAGGGGCTTCCTGCCCAACGTCACTGGAGAGTAGAACCTTTTTGGAGGAGCACAAGTTAGGCCACTTCAGTATTAGGGCTTGGTGTTCAGAATGTCCGAATTTCAATCTGAATTAATTTAAATTCTATTGGACTCTGTTCTCTATTCAGTGACATCAGAATTGTTTCTGGTAACCTGCACATGCACATTTGTACCTGGCCACTTCAATGAAAACAAGGTACTCTCTGACAGAAATGGGCACATCACTGGATTGGTCCATGGGGGCTTTCCTCAGGTCCACCAATAAAGATTCTCCGTCCAGACCCAAAGGGCGCATCTCCACTGCTGCAGAATCAACCACTCTGTGGAATTCAACCTGTGCCTCTTTACTCCAGCCCTTTGTCTGAACACACACAAAAAACCGTTAACACATCTCCTACTACTGCTGCTTGCAAAAAACAAAACCGCAATACATTTTATAAAACAAACACTGTAACACAGACAAAAAAACCCAACAGTTTTAAGTCTTACATCTGATTGTCTGTCTACGTCGCTTTCAGATAGTGTGGCTAGAAGAAGGTGGGAACATAAGAACTAGATGGATAACCTGTAGTTTGTATATTGCAGCAAATGTTGATTGATGTTTTTGATCATCCGGAAAGGCTTAGTTTAAGTGCCTAAATATAGTGCTAAATGACAGTAGTATACTTGAATGGGAAGTCCCAAGTTATATTCTGCTCATCTGTTTCCTCAAAGGCTTTGTTATGTTCTGTTGTGAAAAGTGTTTTTGTCTTGTTGTGTTTAAAACCTGAGGGCCACCATATAACAGCTTGTTCCTCATTAGAGATGGAAAATGTAATTATTTAGTGAGAACAGATACTGTATCTATTTAATCTCAGTAGTCTTACCAGGTCATAGGGGACCAGGTCCTTGAGTGAACATCTGATGGCCTGAGGAGCAAAGTGACCCAACTCCACATTGGCCGCCTCACCCACCTTCCTCAGGTAGTTGTTCACAGCCTTCAGTAAGGACTCAGTGGTCCCCTTCTCACTGGAAAAGGTGTCAAAAGAAGAGTGGACGATGTAGTACAATAACTTCGTACAGCGTTCTACTGAATAACTGAGAAAATGCTTCACAATCAAGGCATTCAGTTAGTGTGAATCAGTTAAGCATTTATGCTGCACAACCTGTATATGTATCAATATATACTGGTCGAACACTTTCTTTAAACTGAGGCCATACTGAGAGGCTGGGATGTTTTTCTGATATACAGTATTTTAATAATATGATAAGAGGCTTTGCATTTTCAGTTATTTAGTGCAGAAAGTCAGAAAATACATGTAGAACTGTGCAAGTATAGGAAAAAATGTCAGGCAATCATGTTGCCTTTAAAAAGAAAACAACTGTAACAAAACTGTAACAACTGTGAGAATAACAAACACTTAGAAGGCTGTCATTGATGCTAAGAAGTAGGCAGGTGTGTAGCAGGATACAATGCTGGATAGTTAACAGAACAAATGCCAATTTGTTTCTGTGGACCATCTAGTATTTGTGTGTACCTCTGTATAGTGATGCTTTTGGTTAGACCATAGTCAAGGAAGAAGACTCGGATACTGGCCAGCTGGTCGACTGGGCAGGACTCCACAGCCTCCACACATCCGTTCTTCAAAACTTCAACCACACTGGCCCGCCACCAGATTTCCTCCTTCCACTTAACAAAGACTGTGGAGCCTGCAGAGGAGCAGAGAAACAAAAGCTGAATCACATGCCAAGTATGTTGCACTCCACTTTGAGAGGATGGGTGGTGTGTGATCCACTCTCAGTATTATGTGGTGGGAAACTCAACACAATGTGACAAAAGAAAAAGACTGAAATAATCTATTATCATATTTTTGTGATGAATTATTTTATATTTACAACATAAAGCCATCAGCAATTACTCAATTACAAATTACTTAATTAAGTGCACACTGACCAACTAATTCATCTGTTATCAGGTGGTGCACTAATGAACCTTTTTGTCTAATCTGCTCAACTTTAATTTGGTGAAAACACGGTCTCTAACCTTTAACAATAACATTTACTTCCATTGCTGTTGAAAATTTAATTCTCCTTATTTCTCCATCATTTTGAAGACACACAAACACACACACACACCGGTCTCCACTGTGTCACGGGAGGTGAAGCGACAACTATCTCTGCAGCAGAAGTGGTTAATCTTCTTAGACAGGGTCTCACTTTCCCTCTTCTCAGCCACATAGCGGACGTAGAAGTGACATGGATTCACAATATGGGATACCGCCACCCACTGAGAAACTAGAACAGACGAGTGAGGAAAACGAGATAGGGAGGAAAGGTGGTAGAAGGGGTAAGAGAAATTATGAAGAAAGAAAGGAAAAGGAAAGGAAGAGAGAGACAAGAGAGAAAAAAGGAATATTGGGTCCCAAGTGAAAGAAAAGGGTAGGCAGAGAAGGTGCAAGGGAATGAGGACAGATATTTATATATATATATATATTTAAAATTTATTTAAACGCGACAACACAAGATTTCAAATTGATTGATTTATCAAAGAGCTTTATCTTCAAAAAGTCTTAATGTTAGATATTTAATCAATATAATTACAAGATTATACAGATGCCTCTCCCTACCATTTCTCTTATTGTCATACAGGCTTTTCTTTCTCCTATTGATTCTCCATTTGTCATTAGCCAGCTCAGGGCCAGTGGGTGGGAGAGCTGCAAAAAGACACAAAGCATTTAACTGAATAGGAATAGACTGGATCTAATTGGATCTGACATTATTTAAGTAAAATCAAAGTCAAACATAAACATGTGACAAAGCCACACACACCATGCTCTTGTCCTTCATCTAAAAGCTCCTCAATAATCACGTCTGGAGTTTCGAGGTCTGAGGCCAAGCTGTGGCGAGAGAGGCTGGACCTGTGACGATGTCTTGGGCTTGGAGAGGAGCCTTGCAACGGTGAACTGTTACCTCTCCGAGTTTCCTGGTCATGTTTTTTGGGGCTGGGAAACTTGTTGCGACTGGGCAGGATAGAGTTGCTGTTCCTGCCCTCTGTGCGTTGCCAGGGAGGCTTTCTGGGTGAGCTGCCTGGCTGGTGGCCTTTGGGTTGAGACTCGGACAACCTAAGAGTGCACAGCAAGACCACTTCAAAACACAGATGTCACATGAGTTGATAGCCATAAAAAGAAAAATGTAATTTAAAAATGTAATGAATTAACTAAAAACTTAAAATTTAAATTACAGGAGGTGGGTATCAATTGTAATATGATGGTTATCCTGCTCATCCATAATGTTCTGGCAACTTCCAACTGAAAATATACTTAGAAGAAAAAAAGATGTAGGGGCTTTTGGAAGAATTTATCCCCAGGTCCAAATCAATCCATATGACATTATGGAAGATATTTAAGGACTCACTGCTTCGGGCTGCTGACTTCCATCTTCAGAGACAATGACAAACTCTGGTTCAGACTTTCTGAGTGGAAAACACAGCTAGAACACAAACATAATTCAATATCCGTCACATATAGGCCAAAAACCAATTGTTCATCTTCAATGTAATCATCGACAGCACAAAGAAAGGGGAAAATTAACAGTGGCAAGTACGTGCATATTTCAAGTCTCTTCTATTTTGGCAGTTAGTTTGATATTTAACACAATTTGGTTACCCACTACAGTAGCTAATATAGCAGAAAAATATAATTAAAGCATTATTACTGTAGTTTATTTGTGTACACACTGTTACAATGAAAAGAACAGAAACAAAGTCAAAACATTGCAAACAAACATCTGTCTTAAAGTGACAAACCTCATTCCAGAGCCCACAGTAATGCATTTCATATTGAAAGACTGGTTATCCACAGGAGCCTGCAACGTCTCCAGAACCTATTGCCAAAACAAACACAGTATGATTTCGGCAGCCACTGTAAACCATTTGCCCGACTCCATTTTTTAAATGGGAAATTGTTGGGGAAAGTACAAGCTGCAGCTACAGTTTATCTGCATTTACTTATTCTACACTACTATTATAGTGGTAGTTCTATTTGACTACGAATTGTGTGCTCGCTAAGAAGTATCTGTTGAGATGAATATAAGCATTACATTTCATACCTTATCGAGGGTGCAGTACTTCTCCAGGAAGGGTACACGGCGTACTTCTCTGGCCATCTGCATGGCAATCTCCAGGGCCTTAATCTTCTCTTGGACACTGCACACCTCTGTTTGGGTGGTGGAGAACCGTGCCTCCAGTTTTGTCAGCTGATTCAATTGCATATCCTTCCTGTTGACAGAGAAATTACAAGCATTAAGATACCAGTTGCTTTACAGACTTCTTCAGAAAACCGTAAAACAACCCGGATACTAGCCTGTTTTTCAAAAGCATAAAACAAAGAGAAAGAGAAAAATACCTGTTTGTAACCATTGGTTTCATATGAATATGGGACCTCATTATACAGCTTTTGCCATTTAGGTGTATTTTGAGAGTTTATATCCATACCACTTTTGAATAGCATGTAAAGATTTGTCTGCAGCTTGCTTGATCTCCATCTCCAGCCGAGCTCTCTCTCTCTTCACCTGTTCTGCCAGACCAGTTGTCAGAGTCTGCACAGATAAAACACAGACAGTTCTTGTAAAAAAACAAAACAAAAAACTGTTATGTATGTTTTTCCTGTTAGGAAATAAATGATGTCTACAGTCATGGTCTACAAGGTGTGTGTAGTTTTTTGGATCTAGTGCAGCTTTCACCTCATGGATGTATTCCAGCTGGGCAAGATTTTCTGCAGCCCGGGCCAACGCCTCATCCACTGCCTTCTCAGTCTTTTCGATGTCAGCTGTCTGAATAAAACATTTCCAGAATTTTAACAATTTTAATCTGAATTATTTATGTTCACTGTACACCGTCCATTCCAATTACCTGACTTTAAGCTTTAGTAACAGCTTGACCTCTGATTAGACCTTCCTCTAGGGAACCAAATGCATTCCCAGGAGAGCCGGGATATATAGATCTTTCAAGGTGCAGTAGGTCTGCCCCAGGGGTGGCGTCCCGGCATGACCACGGACTCTCAAAATGAAGTCACTTGGGAAACACCTCTATCCACATCAGTAGGCAACTTTTAATATTCTGTTACACTTCTCTGAACAGTTCAGAACAGACACGTATTAGCCACATGTATCTGTAATCCTATTCTGGGTCAGTACTGAAAGCATATGGCAATAAGTGTGGAGCTGCACATAAGTTGACCGGTAAATTAATTCATCACGAAAGTCTGGTAAAATTGATTGTGATGATTCAGTCACTGCACCAACCCAGCTGTTCATCTCCCTCTTTATTGGACCTGGAAACCCTGAGGTACTAAAGTTGTTCACTTAGGCAACATCTCACTCCCAACACACAGAGAGCAACTTACATTTTCCTCTTACACTTGCAAGCAGTGTTTGTATCCTAATCTCTTGACACTGCACTAGTCTGCTTAATTGCCATTTCACATAAGTATGACAAAAATCTCTGTCATAGGGAATAGGACAGTACAGTGTTGCGTGATTTGAAATGTACCAACAATAAAATTCATTCAGACAGGCAGTTTAAACATTAACAGTAGGGTCTGACATGACAACTTTCCTTTTCCACCAGCAATTGCTGTGTTCACCCGAACATACCTGTTCCATATTCTCGGCCATGGTGTTCACCTCTGTGGATGTTGGTAATTTGCTCCTTCTGCGATTCTTTGATCTCTCACATCGGAGGCTTCAGGAGATTACAACAGCCAAGTATTTATCAATGTAAGGACACATTCTCTTGTAAAAATCTGTTATACAGTCTAATTACTGGGGCTGCACCGGATGTCTTGTATTTTTTGACATTCTATTGAAGCTTCAAATGTCACCTGAACAAAAAAATCCTCAACCAAGATTTTAATACAGTGAATAAGTGATTCATCTGATCTAAATTAGATTTTATAATACTCAAAGTTGGCACCATACAGTAAGTGAGCGCGATGGTCGACCAAGATAGAGAGTGAATGAAGGGAGGGAGTGGCACAAGTGAGAACAAAGCATGTTTTATTTCTCTATTTTCTGATTGTTTCATGGCTGAAGGAGCCACATTGTCAGATTGTGTCTCCTGTCTGATGTGCCTCTATACTGTTTGTATGTATGTGTTTGTGTGAGTAACAGAGGAGAGAGAAGAGGGACGGAGACAGCCCTGTAACCTGGTTGCTACCTGCGCAGCATTCAAATGTTTATGTATAATTTGAATGTCAAGGCCCTGAAAGAAGCTTCTAAATATTCAGTACAGCCCTATAATCACACAAGAAGGTAAAGGTTGTTACTTTACAGCAGCTTACCTTTTTATCTTGTTCATTTTAGCAGTGTAGATGAGGCCAATGATTCTGCTATCTTCCTGCAGCTCATACACACCACCTTCAGGAACAGTCAACTCAACCTGCAGAAAGTGAGTTGTTTTATTTCCCCTGACATCCTACCACTTGAACATTTGCACAAGTCACAAATCACAAATCAAGCTGTGGCAAGATTAAACAAAAGGCTGGCTGGTTACCAACCAATGTGGCCAGCGAGGACAAGGTTTGCATTTTATGCATAGTCTGACCATACAAAAAGGCACACTCAAAATACAGTTAGAAGATCAGCCTGGTAGAACAAACAGATGTGTAATGCATGAGGCCACTAAAGCATTGGGAAATGCTTTAGCAGTCTTTTGACAGTACTAGAGCCCTTCACATGTTGCATCTTCAGTGTCAAAGTTGATGCAATTTGGCCATATGGTGGCACTTCTTTACCACTTTATCTGATTTATGATACTCCACATAGTTTTGCTATATGCTGTGGGCAGGCCTTATATCACAGAAAATGTCTTACACTTATTGCAACCACATTTGGTGTTGATATGATGTAATTTGGTCAATAAGTAGCGCTGTAGCAGTATTATCAAACTATAAAAGGAAGGAATCTCTGTCTATCTGTATCTTTTTATGTGTGTATGACTGTCCTTCACATATCTCGAGAACCGCTAATCCAATCGACTTCACACTTGGCGGGTGTCTTGTTCAAGACCCGAGGGAGTGCCGTGTCCAGATGAGAATGTGAATTCGATCAGATGAGCGGTTCTTGACAACACTACATGCAGTACTTCTGGTGCCAAGAAATTCCCGGTTCCAATCACTGGTCATTTTACCTCACACTCAGGACATCTAATGACACTCTCACATTGGATGGACAGCAGGCAAGATGTGCAGTAGATGTGGCCACATAAAAGGACACGAGGGAGGTGTCTGTCAACTTCATCCTCATCTGAAAAATACAATTAAGACAATCAGGAATAATGCAATGTCAGTGTAAATGATGAATGCAAGCGCACATCCTGTACATTTCTGTAATCAAAGTGAATGGTCACTGCAGCTCCCCATTCAATTTAAAAGCACAGTTCAATCCCACATTAAGAGTTCCTGTAAAGATAAGGTTGTCTGCTCTACATCAACTGTTAGATAATGAGGGTTTAAAATAATGTAAAATTTACTTTTCTACGATTTGTCAAAGATGGTACTGTCAAATTGTATCTAAAGTACGGCCCATTTACCATAAGAACCTAAAGAGATGGTAATGATTGTTCCAGGTGTTAGTCAAACCCAATCACAAGGTAGCCACGCAAACACATACCCTGCTTTATGGTCTATTTTACTCTAAATGAGACCATCATTTACTAAATGAACATCATGCTTAATGGAAGAAGGCTTGAGACTAGTGATTGAGACCATAAACTCAGGAAATCAGGAAACTGTTCACTGAGATAATAAAT